GCTGAGCCTGCGCATCTGGAGCCTGTGCTCCGCAACGGGAGAGGCCACAACAGTGAGAGGCCCGCGTACCGCAAAAAAAAAAAAAAAAAGCTAAAAATAGAACTACCATATGATTCCTGGGCATGTATTCAGAGAAAACCATAATTCAGAAAGATACGTGCACCCCGTGTTCATTGCAGCACTATTTACAATAGCCAAGACATGGAAGCAACCTAAATGTCCGTGAACAGATGAATAGATAAAGAAGATGTGGTACATATATACAATGGAATACCACTCAGCCATAAAAAAGAATGAAATAATGCCATTTGCAGCAACATGGTTGGACCTAGAGATTATTATACTAAGTGAAGTAAGCCAGACAGAGAAAGTCAAAACTCATATGATATTGCTTATATGTGGAATCTTAAAAAATTTGATATAAATGAATTTATATACAAAACAGAGATAGACCCACAGACATAGAAAACAAACTTATGGTTACCAAAGGGGCAAGGGGGGTGGGGAGGGTTAAATTAGGAGTTTAATAATAAATTAATAATTTATTTAATAATAAATTAGGGATTAGCATATACACACTACTATATATAAAATAGATAACCAACAAGGACCTACTGTATAGCACAGGGAACTGTACTCAATATTTTGTAATAGTACATAAGGGAAAAGAATATGAAAAAGAAAAAATATATATTTATTTATGTAACTGAATCACTTTGCTATATACCTGAAACTAACAGAACATTATAAATCAACTATACCTCAATAGAAAAATAAAATGAAATAAAAAGAATTTAAAGTTTAAAAAAAAGAAAGGAAATACAGCCTCACACAGATACATGGTTGGAAAAGGAAAGAGTATTTTAATAGCCTCTTCAGGTATTTGTGGATATTCTTTGATATTACACCAAAACTTGATAAGTGGTAGTCTCTTTAAGGTTTGTAGCAATGTGAATCTAAAACCCTATCAGTGAATTTTTCATACTTTGTTGCGTTAAAATCTATTAGTCTGTCCTGCTCTTTGAATGCATCTTTTACCCATGCATGATTTTGTTAACATAATGCATTGGTCATTTGGAAAATATTGGTTCACTGAGTTATGCAGATCTTCCAAATGTTGACCCATTTCATTATAGAATATATTAAAATCATATAATATCACCACCTGTCTCATTGGGTAAGTCTTTTAGTATTAGGAAGCTTTCAAACTCTCAGCGATGGATACAAGTCTACCAAAACACTTATTTTCACTTGAAAGCTCAAATTTCGTCACTGGCAACAAATCCTGTCAGCTGTTTTCTTGAAGAGACAGGCTCACTACATTCTTTTTCAAGAAAATGTTGCCAGATATCCAAGTCTGAATAACTGTAGTTTTTGTATTAATTTTTCTTTCAAGTAAAAATGGTGTTCTGTGAAAAAATGTAAAAATTGCATATGTGCTTTTCCTCTAGATAACCATTGTATCTATGTATAAAGCAGAGTGCTTAATGCTTCCCATTTCATCACACAGAATATTAAAAACTTTCAAGGGACAAGATTTTTTTAATTAATTAATTAATTAATTTTTGGCTGCTCTGAGTCTTCGTTGCTGCACGCAGGCTTCCTCTAGTTGTGGCGAGCGGGGGCTACTCTTCATTGCAGTGTGCGGACTTCTCATTGCAGTGGCTTCTCTTATTGTGGAGCATGGGCTCTAGGCATGCGGGCTTCAGTAGTTGTGGCATGTAGGCTCAGTAGTTGTGGCTCACGGGCTCTAGAGCACAGGCTGAATAGTTGCGGCACACGGGCTTAGTTGCTCCACGGCATGTGGGACCTTCCCGGACCAGGGCTCGAACCCGTGTTCCCTGCCTTGGCAGGCAGATTCTTAACCACTGTGCCACCCGGGAAGCCCAAGGGTCAAGATTTTTTTTTTATATAAATTTATTTTATTTTTATTTATTTATTATTTTTGGCTGTGTTGGGTCTTTGTTGCTGTGCACGGGCTTTCTCTAGTTGCAGCGAGCCGGGGCTACTCTTCATTGCGGTGAGTGGGCTTCTCATTGCGGTGGCTTCTCTTGTTGCGGAGCATGGGCTCTAGAGTGCACGGGCTTCAGTAGGTGAGGTGCATGAGCTCAGTAGTTGTGGCTCGTGGGCTCTAGAACACAGGCTCGGTAGTTGTGGCGCACGGACTTAGTTGCCCTGTGGCTGTGGGATCTTCCCGGATCAGGGCTTGAACCCGTGTCCCCTGCATTGGCAGGCAGATTCTTAACCACTGCGCCACCAGGGAAGTTCCCCAAGGGTCAAGATTTAATAAATAATTTTTACTGCTTCATCAGGACATTCTGATATGAATTTGGCTTTTTTTTTTCTACTGTAATTGGACAATAGTGATGAACACTAGTACAGCTTGGTGCCATTGCCTTGATTTGTGCTACGGAGCCAGCAGCTTTACCCACTATTACTTTTGCACCAGCAGTGCAAGTGCCAACCCAGTCAAAAAGGCAGATAGCATCTTAACATTGCTATGAAAGTAGTTTTGACCTGTAGACTCACACAAGGTGCAAACAACACTTCGAGAACCACTGGAGTAGATAGTTTGGCTAGAAAGATTGGACGACTAGTTCTTGGTTTGGTATTTTTTTCTAATGTATTTTTTCAGAATGTGTTTTTCTCTTGTTTCTAAGCTATATTAAATCCTTTTGAATTACAGTTTCAAATTATTGGAAGGATTCAGCTACATACTAACCAGTGGATACTAACACAATATGTAGGGCTTCCCTAGTGGCACAGTGGTCAAGAATCCACCTGCCAATGCAGGGGACACAGGTTCCAGCCCTGGTCCAGGAAGATCCCACATGCTGGGGAGCAACTAAGCCCGTGCGCTACAACTACTGAGCCTGTGCTCTAGAGCCTGCGAGCCACAACTACTGAGCCTGTGTGCCACAACTACCGAAGCCCACGTGCCTAGAGCCCCTTCTCCACAACAAGAGAAGCCACCGCAATGAGAAGCCCGCACACCACAATGAAGAGTAGCCCCTACTCGCCACAACTAGAGAAAGCCCACACACAGCAACGAAGACCCAACGCAGCCAAAAATAAATAAATAAATAAATTCATGGGGGGAAAATGAAATATGTATATTTCATTTCTAGATTTGGGAATTTTTGTATAAGACACCAGATAAATGCTGTATTATTAATAGTAATGACGAACTTTTCACATTATTAACCTAGTCTTTCAATTTTGTGTTTGATTCCCTAAAACTCTCTACTTCAGTTGCAACCTCAAACCCAGGAAAGTGTCTGTCCTGCACAAACTCAACATTCACCTTCACCACCTGTAGGATATTACATCCTTCTGATATTACTCAGGTTACCCCCAGGTAAGAGGGGCTGGGCAATATGAGGCCTTGCTTCTTTCCTCAACTCTGTTTTCTTGAATTTCTTTTTTAAATTACTGTCATTTTAATTCCCAGAATTTTAATTAATGTCCTGTGATAATTTGTCTTTAGAATATTTTCACATTGTATTTTCTCATTTGATCATTATAACTCTTTGAAGTCGGCAAGCCAAGCGAGTATGTAGTGTCTAAATGAAGAAAATGAGGCGTAGAAAGTTCAGGTGACTGGTCCAAGGGCAGGCAGGACCCAGCTGAAACTATACCCAGAGGTAACCAAACTGCAAGATTGGAGGGACTAGTCCTCCGCACAAGACTGCCCTCATTTCTGATATGACCTGCAAGTTCAGGGGCTTCCCAAAACCATGCTCTTGTTTGATAAATTTTCTAGAAGGACTCACAGAGCTCACTGAAAGCTGTTATGCACGTGGTTACTGTTTATTACAGGGAAAGGTTACAGGATAAAATCAGCCGAAGGAAGAGACACATAAGTCAGAGTCTGGGAGGGTTCCACACATGAAACCTCCCTGTCCTTAGGAATCATTACTTTCCTGGTATCAGTGTTTGATAGTGCACACAGAGTATTGCCAACCAGGGAAGCTCACCCAAGCCTTAGTGTCCAGAATTTTTTTACTGAGGCTTCACTGTGTAAGGCATGATTGATTGATTACCTATATAGCTATAACTCACTATAACTATAATAACTCACCTCCAGGTCCACTGACGCAAAGCTTCCACCCTAAATCACATGGTTAGCCTTCCTAGCATGGCCAGTCCCCATCCTACAGCTATTGGGTGTGGCCAGGTCCACTCCAAGATCTAGTGTGGCCAGGCTCCATCCTGAACAAACACACTTCTAGCAGCCATGGCATAGATTACCTCCCAGAAGCTGAGGGCAAAGCCAGAACCCTCTGGGCAGTCCAAATTATTTACTACACAGATTAGAACAATAAGCAATATTGCTGAAATTTCTGTCCTACCAATTCCAAAAAGAATCTAAGGCAATTTCCAGAGATATGTAGAACTTTGCAGGATAATGTTAACTAGAAGTAGAGAAGGAAAATGAAGCAAAAAAGAATCAAGAGTAAGGATATAAAATGGATAGAGGAATACACCTAGTGTATAAATTGTACTATAAAGTCTTATATACTTGCTAAGTAAGGTGAGCCATGTATTTGAGTCTTAGCTTTTTAGCTGCCAGTGTAGAGGGAAATAACATTATGATTCACATTGTCTATAAGATAGAAGCAAATTGACTGTTTAGGGAAGCATTTGGGTGGTATCCTATAAAGACCTCAATAAAGTCTATAATAAATAGGCATACCTGAAATTTTTCTACATTGTTCTTATAGTCAATAAGATAGCAGGTTTTATAAAATTGGTTCCTGAGGAGGCTATCGATACAGGTTGATACCATCATTTGGTATCTTAGTGACATGAACAGTTTAGGAAAAGACAGGCAATTCTACAATAAAGTAGGACCAGGGAGGTGGAAGACTGGGAATACAGTAGACAGACTACATCAGAACCAAGGAGTCGAAGTTGTTTGCATTTTGCTTCTTTAATACAAGTTGGTACTTTAGAAAGTTTATTTATTAATCCTAAATTTGCATCTTGTTCATAATCTTTATAAATCTTGATATCTAGATATTCTGAGTATTTTGTGTTAAAGTGAAAGTTTATGTATTAAATGCTGGTAACATTTGCTCAAGGGGGAATAATTTGCTAAAGAAGTACCCTCTCCATTCTATCACCATTTCCTTGAGTACATGATTGTTTATTTAGTTTTTTTTCTTTTTAACAAAACATAGAATAAGAAGAAAGATTCTAATAGCTGTCAAAGCTTCCCAGAAACCCATGCTTTAAGTCAAGATTGAGAAAAATTCGTTCCATGGGTATCCTTATACTACTATTCTTTGGAATTAACATTCTTGGAAATTTAACAATTAGAACTTTATTCTCAGTAATATAAAATTGACAGATTAAAAAGAAATGTGTCTCCTTAGAAAACCGTCTTCGGTTTAATTATGAAAGATTGTATTTTCTGAAAGGTTGAAGAATTGTTAAATCATGGATTATTGTCTCTTGGTGTATTTCACTTTATGGAATGGATATGTTAATAAAAATTTCTAAACTTTACTTTCTTCAATATTTAAATTTCTTTGATTTTTTAATTATAAAATTTAGTTGTATTTCCACAGATACATATTTTAGAGTTAAAATTTAAGAATAATAAAGTAATTATTTGAGAATAATAAAGTTATCTAAGTACAGTAAACTCATATTCTGTGAAAAGAAATATGTTTCAATAAGTTAATGACTAAATTACAAATAACTAATCATTGAAGTAACACATCAAAATTTTCATGCCTCAGATACTGATGTGTTGCCTGTTCCTCTATATTTACTATGGATAACTACTGTAATTACTTTAAATGCTGACTTGGGATTACTCTTTATTCTTAAATTCTCTCTCCTCCTTTTTTTTTTTTCCTTTCTGTGTAAAGCTCTGACTTCACTTCATTATCCTGTGGAAGTAGTGGTAGCAGTTCATCAAACACAGCAGTGAATTCTCCTGCTATGTCCTATAGGCTCAGCATTGGTGAATCCATCACCAACCGACGAGATTCCACCATAACCTTCAGCGGCACCATGAGCTTGGCCAAACTTCTACAAAAGCGAGGTATCTCTGCTAAAGCATACCACAGCCCAGTTTCAGAGGACCCCCTCCTCCAGCCTCTCCCTAGAGGCCTGGCTATCCCTTCCACGCCACCAAATTCACTGTCTCACTCACCTTACCCTTCTCCTTTGCCCGTTGAGCCTCGAGTGCATGTCTCTGAAAATTTTTTAGCCTCCCGACCAGCTGAAACATTCCTCCAGGAGATGTATGGCTTGAGACCATCCCGAAACCCTCCTGATGTTGGCCAGTTGAAGATGAACTTAGTGGACAGGCTGAAAAGACTGGGGATAGCCAGAGTGATCAAGACCCCTGCAGCCCAGGAAAATGGAAGAAGCCAAGAGGCAGAAAATGGTCTTGAAAGACCAAACTCTGCTGTCTATTTAAATTCAGGTAGCAATTTATTGAGTGGACTGAGGAGGAATCAGAGTCTTCCAGTCATTTTGGGTAGCTTTGGCACCCCAGTTTGCACATCATCACCCAAAATGGATATCCTGAAGGAAGACTGAGGTTCAGCAGTTGACTGACCTCTTACACAAGTTAGCACATGAAGGAAAGATTTGCACTGATACATGTAGTCTTGTCTGAGAGAAAAGGAATGTTGCAGAAGGGTTGTGAATGTGGGAAGGGGAAAGTGGAAGAATGGAAACAGTATTGGCATGAGGTCTGTCTGATAAATTGAAAGTATAAATGAATAGGTCGTGAGTGTTTGGAAGCAGAGAAAGAAGAAATGTTTAATGTGGTCCTCCAGTTGGTATTTCTTGTCTTGAAAATAAAAAGTGACTAGAAAATAAATTCAGTAATATTGGAACATACCAGAAATACTGAACTTGCTAACACATTTACTTCTGGTGAGCATAAGCAGGGAGGACCCAGGTTAGGAGATGGGAAAAAAGAAGGAGCAGCTTTGACCATTACCTTTAGAAAGCTGTTCTAAAAGGTTGCTGGAGTAAACTCAGTCTGTTAGTGAGACAACAGTGAGATGGCTTATCTGCTGGCCCCTGTTAATGTCTGGTTAAATTACACCTCCATCAAAGAGTATGCTCACTGCATTATCAGCAAGGAATTTTACCTTTTTCGTAAGATCAGACTAGTGGAGACTCCCTTTTTGCTTTCTGTTTTCAGGCCTTCGAGCCACTGGGATCCCAAACATAATCCACATTCCTTTTGCATTTGTGATTAATAAAGGTTATTTTTTTATTTTTATTTTTTGCGGTACACGGGCCTCTCACTGTTGTGGCCTCTCCCGTTGCGGAGCACAGGCTCCAGACACGCAGGCTCAGCGGCCATGGCTCACGGGCCTAGCCACTCCGCGGCATGTGGGATCTTCCCGGACCAGGGCACGAACCCGTGTCCCCTGCATCAGCAGGCACACTCTCAACCACTGCGCCACCAGGGAAGCCCAAGGATTAATTTTTTTAATTTGTATTGTTGTACAATACCCCCCCCCCAAACAACATGAGTGGGGGGTAGGAGGGATTTACTTTAAGAAGGAAAATATGGGTACATTGGAACCAAGGAAACTTATTTTCAGAATATTTCTTCTGAATACGTGCATTGGCCAAGGTGTATGAACATAATTACTGTACATGTCTTTCAAATTTCCTTGGAGGCTGGATGGGTTAAACCAGAAGTGCAATCAATAGGAATTAGAGAATGTTGTGTATTTATCTTTGTAAGTTTTTTTGGAAGGAAAGTTGGTTGCAACTAAACTTTTTCCAAAATGTGCTATGCATACTTTTAATGAAAGATGACATATATTTGCACAAAAATTCTCAGGCACAGCAAATTATTATAAACTGAAGTAAAACCCAGGTGCTTTCTTTGAGATTGTGTTTTTTTAATATAAAATAAAATTAAAACATCTGCCTTTTTCTTCATATCCGCGGAAGTAGAGAATGAACTTTTTTCAATGGGCAAGTCAAACGCTTTTTCTTTTTCTCTGGGATTCCATTTTTCTTTTTTTTAATTATGTGAAATGGCAAAGTGAAACTCTGGGATTAGGTTTCAGCTTTCAGCAGTGTGACGCAAGGCTGTGAATTGGGAAAAAACAGATCTGTTTTCTGAGCATTGCTGACCGAGGTCTGCTTCTCATCAGATGACATGGCTTTATCTCGGCCACGCAGTTGAGAAAGAAATGCTGTTACATGAAAGGCATTATGGAGAGAAGATGAAGGAGGGGGCTAGTTCTTTTTGAAAATGGGAGGCGTGTTACTTGATCTTTTCATTGCTTCATTAGCAAATGTTTCGGTCCTTTGTTCCGACTTAAACTGAAAGGCAATTTTCTGCAGAATTCTTGATGGGCATGTTACTCCTGTGGCTCCCATCCATACACCTGTTACAGGCCAGAGGAGGGTCCTTCTCTCCTCTTGAGCTGCCTCTCCTTCAGGAAGAGCTATGTGTTCAAAACACACATGCAAGAGTAAAATGTGTGAGTTTTCCATGATTTTTAGAATCTTTTAATAAAACTTTTCTAAATAAACTTCTTAAAAAGAGTGACCTCTTCCCATTCTCTCCCCCTTGCTCAGTCATTCTGAAATCAGACCATACACAGAGATGTTCAGAAAGGATTCCAGCTGGTCTGTAAGTGAACGCACATGTCCCTGAATGTGGACCAGAAGAATTCCTGATGTTTAAATTTCTAGAATATTCCAGTTCACATTTTAAATGATATTTGAGTTTCTACTTCATAAAGTAACTCTGGGGTGCTTATTTTAGACAATTCTTTAAGCTTTTTATTTATTCTCTAAGAAAGTAATCTTCCTGTTACCAGTTTACAAGAGACATCAGGAAGTAGGAAAATATAGGACCAGAGAGTAGTACAAAGTGTTAAATTATCAGATTTTATGTATATTATATAAACAGCTATAAAAATTAAGCTAGATTTTGGAGTGTCCTGTATAGTTAGTATACTTTTAAAATAACCGAGGCTAAAGTGATCACTTTGGAGGTAGGGCAAGGGTGTATTCACAGCCAAATAAGCCTGTCTGATTAAAGAGAACCAGACTTTGGTTTTTGAAAATTAAATTGATGTTGCTGTTCCACCAGAAACACAATGATTGGGAACTGGTGCGTGCTCGTCTCTAGAAATGAATCCTGTTTTAAAACTGGGTTTTGTTGTTTTTGAAATTTCCACCTAAAATCATTTTTGGTTGAGAATGAGAATCTCTATTATAATGAAATTGTGTGTAAAATATAGTAAGAACTGGAGCCTTGTAGCAAGTTCCTTCTTAATTTATCTGTTATGTTTTAGCACTGTTCACATTTTAGTTTTTCTTTATCAACTGTGTATGTACTTTAATGCCAGTATAGGGAACTCTGATTTTTCTTTTTTTCCTTCTGAAGGGTCTCAGTGATTATACCTCAGGTATTTCTGAGTATCCTATTATCTACTAGGAGGGATACCTTCCCTGTGAACTCAGAATTAAAATTTCTCCTGAATTATGATGATCCCAAATCTTATGTACATGGCCTTAGGCATGGGTCTTGGAAAAAAGTTAATGACTATTGTTAAAGTAGTTTTTTAAAAAATTTTGTACTATATGTCCTTGATTTGACCTGAATGAACAGACTTTGGCAAAGGGAGGAAATAAGTTAAAGGCAGCTCACAACAAGAGCCTGTTCTCTATAAAAGGTGTATTTTATACAGTATTGAAAGCCTGTTATTTTTTCTGACCATTCTGGTACACAATTAGTACTTGTTGGTAATAACATTGACTTTTGACACCTGGAACTAGAACTCTTAGTGTTTAGTAGCCCACTCCTTTGATGTCAGATGCCTGCAAGCCTGTACTCCAGGTACAACACGGCAACATCTACACTGAGTGGTTGCATAGCCAGCACAGCTACCTGGGAGTGGCATGGTGCCCTCTGGGGCTGCCAGGGAGATACTGTAGTTTGATATCTGGGGCTTGACTTTGTCAAAGAGCTCTTTGTGCACCTACCTTTGCTTTGTCAAATGTTAATCAGATAATAAACATGAGTATCTTCTTAAATTTTCATTTGTCTTTCTGTGTTTTTGTCCCAGTTCTTTTCACAGGTAATCCTGCATTAAGTCTTTCCTTTCCATTATGTCGTTTTTGGTACAGAAAACAACTCTATTTGTCAAAACAGCACAAAACAAACCAACAATAGTCATGAGTAGTAAACATCTTATTCTATTTTCTTAGATTTTTAAAAAATAGAATAGCCATATTGTTTCTTCAGCAAAGTATCAGCAACAAAAAAATAAAATCTAAAGTCAATGCAGACCTTTAATTTGAAAAGACTCAGGAAGTATGAAGCAATTCATTACTTATAGTCCACAATTTACTATTGATACTCTTAGCTATTACGAAACTGTTTCCAAGAAATTAAATTTGAGAATTGTTGGATTCTAACAGAATAGTTCTTTGATGTTCTCTTTTCTCTCTCACAATTCAATTGATGTATTTATTTTAAACTCATTTAATATCCATTTAGAAATATGGAGATTGGTTCAAAATAGCAGAATAGAAGGACATGCACTCGCTCTTGCAAGAGCACCGGAATTGCAACTAACTGCTGAATGATCATTGGCAGGAAGACACTGGAACTCACCAAAAAAGATACCCCACATCCAAAGACAAAGGAGAAGCTGCAATGAGACGGTAGTATGGGCACAATCACAAATCAAATCCCATAACCGCTGGGTGGGTGACTCACAAACTGGAGAACAATTATACCACAGAAGTCCACCCACTGGAGTGACAGGACTGGGGGAAACAGAGACTCCACTCTTGGAGGGCACACACAAAGTAGTGTGTGCATGAGGACCCAGGGAGAAGGAGCAGTGACCCCATAGGAGACTGAACCAGACCTACCTGCTAGTGTTGGAGGGTCTCCTACAGAGGTGGGGGGTGGCTGTGACAGCACGGGGTCAAGGACACTGGCAGCAGAAGTTCTTGGAAGTACTCCTTGGCATGAGCCCTCCCAGAGTCCACCATTAGCCGCCCCCCCCACCACCAAAGAGCCTGTAGCCTCCAGTGCTGGGTTGCCTCAGGCCAAACAACCAACAGGGAGGGAACTCAGCCCCACCCATCAGCAGACAAATGGATTAAAGTTTAACTGAGCTCTGCCCACCAGAGCAACACCCAGCTCTGCCCACCACCAGTCCCTCCCATCAGGAAACTTGCACAAGCCTCTTAGATAGCCTCATCCACCAGAGGGCAGACAGCAGAAGCAAGAACTACAATTCTGCAGCCTGTGAAACAAAAACCACATTCACAGAAAGATAGACAAAATGAAAAGGCAGAGGACTATGTACCACATGAAGGAACAGGATAAAACCCCAGAAAAACAATTAAATGAAGTGGAGATAGGCAAGCTTCCAGAAAAAGAATTCAGAATATTGATAGTGAAAATGAACCAGGACCTCAGAAAAAGAATGGAGGCAAAGATCAAGATGCAAGAAATGTTTAGCAAAGACCTAGAAGAATTAAAGAACAAACAAACAGAGATGAACAATACAATAACTGAAGTGAAAAATACACTAGAAGGAATCAATAGCAGAATAACTGAGGCAGAAGAACGGATAAGTGACCTGGAAGACAGAATGGTGGAATTCACTGCTGCGGAAGAGAATAAAGAAAAAAGAATGAAAAGAAATGAAGACGGCCTAAGAGACCTCTGGGGCAATATTAAACACACCAACATTTGCAATTAAACAAAATTGATAAACCTTTAGCCAGACTCAT